TAGTTTATTTGAGCTAGTAATGATTTTTATAGATCAATATGTTTGAAGTGTGAAAAAATAAAATACATAGGTTTTTATGCCATAAATATCATTTTTGAATAAATTATTTGACAAAATTCTTGAAAAAATCATACAATTTTCGTATATTTTGCCGATTTTTCCTAAATATGTGAAAATATGTGCTAACAGCCAAAATATGTAATTATATGTAGTTATGTAATAACAAATAGGTCTCAAAATACTCCTTATTACATGATTCGGATAGATCTTTAAGTTAGAGTTTGATATCTCTTACCGCAAAAATATGTAAAAATATGTAAAGTGAACTCTTTGATCATGATCAAGTACAGTGTATTTTGCTTGGCATTAATTTGTTTAACAATAAACAATTATTTTAATACAGTACTTCTATTTTCACTATAAGTGTAATACAATTACAAACAAATTAAACCAAATATGGTACTTTTTCAACATTGGTCAATACAATTTTATCTAATATTTTTATCTAATAAAAATAGCATTCAATACTTCGTTGGGCTTTTAATTAAATAAAACATATGGACTTTTATTGAATTAATAGTATAATAAATCTCATTTAAATTATAAATATTCCAATAAAATATTATTAAACAATCATTTACTAAATAATAGCTAAGTTGTGATGACTTTTAATAAATTATTATAATTAGCTATAAAAATATTTTACATAAAACACAATAATTTTAAGCATAATTAATGGCCAGATATGCGATGAGAGCGCCCACACTATAGCCGGTGCCGATGTCTGACCAGTGGTGCCAATAAATGTATCCCTGAGTAAAGCCCGGAATCATTCCGAGTATAAAAATTATGCATTGAATCGCATATACAATGCACTTTGTTTTAGGGTTTGTGTTTGACTTAAAGCGATACAACAGGTATAGCACCGCATAAAAGGCCACATACATGGCCAGAGCCGAGTGGCCTGAATAGAAAGACATTCGGGCCTCTCTGGCCATTCGCGGACTCGCATTAATGCACACAAATTGGTCCACATATCGGGTCGGATCGTCCGCACAGTAATGCCTCGCATTGCAGATACCTATGAATCAGACGATAGGAATTAATGGGAAATATTAGTGATGAGACGACACTGTCTTCGCATACCATCGATAGAATTAGGTCTTAATCTTCCGAAATATGTTTTGCAAATATGTGTCAACAAAATGGATGACATGAGTCCGACATAAAACTTGGTCAACTCGTCGATCACCTGTTTTAGATGAAAGCCAAACAGGTATTCGGTGGTCACGACTGTGAGGAATAGTGTGGTTAATGCCATACAAAGCACAGTAAACATGGGAATTATGACGGGGTAAAAGGGTTTAGCGATGGTGTGGTCACTGCAGTGAAAGCCCCGCTCGTGAGGAGTGGACCACTTGTGGAACAGATAGGACACGGCTGTCATGCCTATCATGACAGCCACCGCTTTCGCTCTCAATATACTCGTCATTCAAATCAATTGTTTCGATACTTTTGCGGACAATATTTCTTACGATTAGTTCATGTATTCATTGAATACAGGTTTCAATGAATTGAATTTTTTTCAACAATCGTTACGTCAATCGCATAGAAAATCACGTGTTTTGTTGCCATAGATTTAGTGAACACTCGGATATCACGTCAATTGATTTGACGGCTATTTAGTACTGGATTTAAGTTTTGAGATAAATATATTTGTGATTTGATTATGCATTTTAGTGATGAGTTTTAATAAAATAAAACTTTGAATTTCACGCCAAATGCACGCAAAACATTGTGTAATACTAATGACAATCAATAATGTTTTTTAATATAAACATATTTACGTTAATACAAAATATAGCAAAATTTAAAACAAAATTAATTAAAACTGGTATTTTAGGTCAAAGGATCACGGTCATGACAATTTAGTAAAATGTGAACAATGTCATTTCATATACATGTATATCTTTAAGATGGCAAAATATTATTTTACATAAATCAACTACTTTAATATAACACTTTTAGAGTAAATCAAAATTGAGTTTTTCAAAATTGCGTATAGCATTGGCTGTACAAATGAAAACACGTGACAAATGTACAGTCAATGCTATACGCAATTTTGAAAAACTCAATTTTGATTTACTCTAAAAGTGTAAACTATAATACTGTAATATATCATGGATCAATGATTGTTCTGGTATTATAGTAATTATTAATTGAGAATTAATGCTTTCACACCATATTTAAAACATTTTAAGTACAAGTGTCTGAATTTTAATTTCTTGTAAGTCTAGTAACAATTCATTAAGTTATAAAAATTCTGTGTATTCTTTGGTATTTATAATTCTATAATTTAATTTAATTTATAATAAATTCTATAATAAAATCAATAAAATAATATTAATCAAAAGTGACGGATAAACAATATTTAAGTTGTGATGAATAATAAATTATATAAAAATATAATAAAATTAACAAATTATATAACTGTAAAGTATATAATTAAACAATAATATAAGTAAAAGGCAATTATTTAAACATAATTAATGACCAGATATGCTGTGAGAGCGCCCACACTATAGCCGGTGCCGATGTCTGACCAGTGGTGCCAATAATTAATACCCTGAGTGAAGCCGGGAATGAGTCCCAGAATAAGTGCTATACACTGAACGGTAAATACAATGGATTTTGTTTTGCTGTTTGTATTGTATTTAAACCGATAAATGAGATACAAAATGACATAAAAAGCCGAATACATGGCCACCGATGAGTGGCCCGAATAGAAGGACATTCGCGCCTCTCTCACCAACTTTGGGATCCCATTAT